GGTTACACTAAAAAGATCCAAACAACAAAAGGAACTAGAAACAAAACTCAAAAGGCCATATTACAAAGACAATTTGATTAAAAAATGATCAAAACAGACACCATAACCCCTAAGACAGCAAACAACAACAAACTGTGGGCAAACTGTTGGCAGTAAACACCAGCCATAGCACCATGCACCAGCAGCAATGACACCAGGCATCAAAGCAAACAACACTAGCCAACAAAAAGGCCAACAACCTGCTCACATTATATATCTATAACAGCACTATTTTATTCTAATGGCTCAATACTCAATAATTGTAAAAGGTAAAAGAGTCTGCATTTTCATAATCCCAAAATATCCAAAACAACTTAATTAAAAGGTTCATTACATAAGCCTATAATACAAAAAAGATCCGATGTTTCTAGCAAACTAATAGCCCACACCATAATCCAAAAGATAAACTTGTCACATAATAATAGTACTCAAAAGTATTACACATGATGCCATTTTATAAAGACCTCCATGAAAAATGTTCAAATCAAGAAATGACGTCCATTGTTTGATACTTTCATATTGTCTTATTTCTTGCAATAAAAATAATTGAATGAGCATAAGTATCATTTTCAATTTTAAAATCTATAAAGAAAATTTAGACTACAAATAATTCTCGACAAGTCTTTTTGTTTTTTTTTTTTTTTTTTTTGGTAAGTATGTGGTTTACATATCAAAAAATAAAGATTACAATGAAGTTGAAGATCATATTTGCAAGAATAGGAGGATAAGCAAGATCTAGACATAACATTTCCCACTACAATATTTTTTTTTGACATCCATTCATTTTAATCTCATTTTCCCCAAACCTTACCCAAAAAGGATTTTTTTTTTAAAATTCTTTCAATTTAGTTTCTTTTTCTATCTTTTCTCTCTACAAATTCAAGATTCAAAAATTTATAAACTGTACAATTTTTAGTTTGTCGAGCGCATTATGAAATCTTCGATGCCAAGTCACTTGTACAATGACACATGATCCCTAGTCACAAGCCTTCAAGATTCATATTGTGTTTTCATTTCAATAGTTTGTATAGTCATAAAGCAACTGATCATAATAATATTTTCCAACCCTTTGATTTTTCTCATAAGTAACAAAAAGTGTTACTAGTCTTTCTTTCTTTTCAGATGCAAGAGAAGGTGAGCTTGAGATGGCCTAACAAAGTCCAAAAGGCAAAAACACTGATGACAGGGAAAACAAAAGTGGGATAGGAAGAAATATTTCACATGCTCTCTCTCTCTCTCTCTCTCTCTATGTGGTGCTCTCTAACTCTTAAGGCAATTGTCAAGGTTAAAGAAATTTTAAGCTAACTCCTAAACACAATCTCTAAGTATGCGACCAGTGAAATTTAATGATTTAAACAACCTATGTTCTTTTGTTTGATGATAATGTTTGAGCTCATGATAACATGAGAATTATTGTGAAGCATTTGTCATGTCAGTGTTCAAATTTCATTGACACTAAGATTCAAATGAACAACCAAAGGATTGTTTATGAGATGAATGTCGCATATGTTATGTCGGTCCATATATTCCTAGTTCACTCTAAACACACCAAACCCAACAACACCTAAGCTTCCATAAAGCATCACAAAAGCCAAACAAACAAAGGTGGCAAAGAAACCCACTCCATACCAGCAAAAAAAATTATGCATTATGATGAAACCCACCCTCTCTGTTTTCTTCCTCTGTTTTCTGTTTTCTTTTAAACCCAACGAAAAAAACTCTGCATTAGTTCTTGGTGTTGTTCTTTAAGCACTACAAGTTGATCTCTAAGACTAGATATGCTTGAAGACATCTAAAAGGCTTAGAACATGTAAGCAAGCAACTAACATGTTAGCATTTGGACTGAATCAACCAATAAAGCCAAACATTAGTAGCAGCCACCAAATCAAACAACCACTAGCAACATCCAATGGTCTATTTTTAATTGTATATTACAGTTTGATACGTTGCAGCATTGACAAAATTTGTTCAATTGCCCAATTCTCTATTCACTGGTTTGTTTGGTATTTTTACGAATGCCAATAAGGGAAGCAAAGTAGAGAAGTCAAGCTATCAAATCCCAATTTTGTCTAAACTAACTAACAATTTATTGGTAAAGAAGTCGTTAATTGTGGTTCTAAATTTGTGTCAATGTATGTGTATTGTAATGATGACTTACCCCGATTAGAAGGTTGCATTTCATGACTCCCAAAAGAAGATCTTTGATGTGTTTCTGTAGACGCGCCCGCGGAGGGGGGACCTCGCTACTACAGTTCGGACTCGCGATTTTTGTTGTCGCGGTTCTTAATCTGAACCAAAGAGTCCAAATCCGGAAATTACCACTGGCCATCGATTGACTGCCGGTCGGCACTAAATACTGCCGGCCGCAATAAATTCCTGCAGAACCTGCAACTCACAGCAGCAGAGGGCAAAATCTTGCATGGCAATGCAATTCAAGCAATTTATGCATCTACCATGTCCCTTATCATGATATGATTCAAAGGGGCATGTGCCTCGATTCTCGGACCACCAATCACGCATTTCCATGCATGATGGCCCAAAGAACCAAGTATGCAACTTTGATTTCAAATGCATGCAAACCAAATCAAACCAAAGTCCTAATCCCTATCACCAAATCAAGGGACAAGGAATGCATGCAAAATGCAATGCAACCTAAGCATAAAGGCTAAGGATGCAACATGGCATGGGGGCAAGCTTATGCAAGCATACAAGCATACATAGGGGCATGCAAATGGACGCAAAGATGGACTTATGCATGAATTAGGCAACTCTAAATAGGCCTAAAACAGTAGCCATTAATGCCCAAAAATGGAGACCAAAGCACATGCACACATGTACCTAATTGAAGGCCAACACTTAAGCACAAAGCAAGCAACATTCAAGCACACTTGAAAAGGCATTCATGGACTAAGCATGCAACATAAGCTCTGAAAATCATGCTAATACATGGTGCCAAACAAAGCAACAAATTAAGCCAAGCATGCACCAAATGGCCTAAGTGTTCAAAGCAAATCAATGGGGCATTGAACTACACTTAACAAGACCAAACATGGCATGAAAGGAAGGACCAAAATCAGAGGTTTAGCATGTTAAAACAAAGCTAAAGGACTACTTAGATGGCATCTAAGTGACTCAAAAACAAAGGCATGCATAAACACCGAAACATGGAGTATTGCTACACAAGCTTAAGAGGCATTAAAGATGCATGCAAGGCAATCAAACAAGCATGGAAATGGGACTGAAATAACATATAAAGTGACCCCAAATCACCAAATCGATGCAAAGATGTCATGCTACACATGCACATACTCAAGGCCAACAAGCCCAAATACAAAGGAGCTATATCAAGCATGCCAAAATCAACCCAAACACTTATGGACAGACCTAAAACATGGCAAAATATGTACATAATCTTCACAAGACTAAGCCTAAAACATGTTCCAACAAAGGCTAACAACCTACGGCACATTAAGGCATAAACATGGCATTACAAGGCAACTATGCTAAGCATGCATGGAGTACCAAAACCAACTTGAAATCATGTTATATTATGGATTATATAGCATGAAAAACAACCTAAACATGCTCAACACACACTCAAGCATAATGCTCTCTCAAGAGGCCAAAATATGCCCTTTTCAAAGACAACAAGGAGAGGGGTGGCCCTCTCCTTCTTGGAACTTCAAGGCATCATCTTCACCACTGAAATCCCTCAAGATTTCAGTGGTGAAGAGACCCCAACACCAAAATCCCGGAGCTAGCACAAAATGGCCTAAAATGAGGCCTTTCAAGGCCTAAGGGGGGTCAACCACCCTTAAACAACAAAACACTCTTAATAAACAATAAAGAGGGCTTAAAAACAGAACTTTTTTATGTTTATACAATAAGCACAAAAACAGCTCTAATATAGGTAGGAAATCAATGCAAAATTGGGAAAAAAAGGGATAAGTTTTCTTACCCTTGATGATCCCTTCACAAATGGTGCTCCAATGGCCTCCTTTAGCTTGAATCCAATGCCAAAACTTCAAAAACCAGTCCTTTAGAACCTCAAGAGCCAAAGGAAGGTGAAACACTAGGTGTTTGTGTGCAATAGTAAGACACAAAACACCTAGTGTACAAAAATGAGAGGGAAAGAGAGATAGAAAATGTATCTAACTCAAACCCTAGAACCAGAGCTCAACAAAAGGCTGTTTTTGCTCTCCAAAAATATCTCAACTCTCTAACCCCTCAAGCCAAAGACCAATCCTCTCTCTATATGTCTTGTAAAGCTTACAAGACAAGTTTTCAAGAGGGAGATCCGCTCATACACGTGTATGGAGGGATGCAAAAGCAAGACAGCTGTCTAAAAATATCTGCAAAAGCAGATGAACAGCAATCGGCCGGCCAAAAATGCCATCTTGGCCAAAAGAGTGCCGACCGGCACAAAATAGTGCTGACCGGCAACAAAAAGTGCCGGCCAGCAAACTATATTGCCGGTGGAGACAAAAATCAGCCGGTGGCCTCTAGCCACTGCCGGTGGTGGGTGGGGATGGTCTACAAGCCCTA